GAACCTTTCTTTTCTATTGGAGTAGCGATTTGATTGGTCAGATGGTCTATGAAGAAAGGTTTAAGTATACCTCTAGCACATTACTGTTAATTCCTATTTGCAGCTGTCAGACCTATTTCTTAGGAAAGCAAGCAAGCAAGCAAAAAAAAGGCATTTACATAACTGTTGAGTCAGACATTTCAATGAGTTAAGTATCAAGTACCCTCTTCTAGATACCGTGCTTTAGGATTTCAGGCAGGAATCTTTCTCAGCACCTTCTGAACACCAATCTGGTGCTTCCTTTCTGAGTTGTTTGCCTAGAAGACTTCTTGCACATTGATTGCACAGGAGAAGATGATTTCCATAGCAGAAATCTTGGAATAGTTTTGATTCATCAAAATCTGCAATTTGCTGGACAGCTATGTCAAACATAGAGTTCCTTCCCAAAGGACATAGAATAAGTAGCAACATTTCTTACTCTCTTGTATTCTATTCCTTTAATTGTCTACTAGGGGCAAGAGACTAAAGATGATCAAAGATGATCATTTACTTTTCATATCCTGCCCATGTCTGAGATTACTCAGCATTACCAAATGGGAGTTAGCTAAAAATATCCCCTCTTGATGTAATGCCAGAATGCCTGTTGTATGACAGAAGGCAGTGCCTGTTGGCATTAGAAAGCAGCTTGGGGTACAGAAGTATATAATTGTGCAGTGATACTTCCTTCTGATACTTCCTTCAGTCACCCCCAAAAGGTGCCACGATTCCTTACCATCCCAGCTTGTCCTTGGGACCGGTTCTTCTGTCAGCCAATCAGGTAAGAGACTTTTAAGTAAACTATCAGTAGATTGTTTTGCCAAGACATAAAGAGGCTTTGGGTTCCTCTGTTATGATGGCATTAATGGGAAGAGGTTTGAAAGATGGGAGTTGGATGGGCCAGCAAAAAGACACTGGGAATGAAAGGCGGGATGGTGAGAAGTACTAAGAAGAGGTTGAGCAGGCCAGCAGGAATGTGGTGGGAATCTGGGGGGAAATGCTGGAAAGGGGAATTAATGTACCCAAACCAGCTTCTGCTTGATATAGATAATACTCCCAGCATAACTGGGATTTGGATTGCCATTTATTAAGAGCAGTTGTGATACACTATTGGGAGGGGGAGCTTGACTGTTTACAATACGTGTGCAGTAGTGGAAGTGGTCAACTATAAAACCTTTCCTGGCAGGCAAACTGGCAAGGTTGCTATTTTCTCCTAGGGTTAACTCCGAGAATGCTCTCTACCACTTTTAAATTGTATGTTTGTTTGCTTGTTTGGCATTGGTGGGAATGCTTCCAAATAAACCACTGGATACATTTTTATCTTCTGGGGCCGAAATAGTTTCTTGTAAATGAAGAAGATGTTAGAAAACTGGTTTGTCAGGCTTGAAAAACAAGGTTCACATGTGAAGGTTCAGTTAAGCTGATTTATTGCTATGACCTATGTACAGAAATCTCAACTAATGATCAGCACCTGGTTAGAGTTAGGTAAGAATGAATGGCACTCAAAGACATTTTGAAGGAGGTTTGGAACCTCATTTGTGGCCACACCTTCATTTGTGGCTACATAGGGATTCTAGGCTGATCCCTCTTTTAACTCCGCCCTTAAGTTCTGCTGTTCCTTCTCCTACATGGTGCTTTGTTTGCAGCATGCCAACTTCCATGTAGAAGAATCTAATCAAAAAGAGTCCAGGTTGAGTAAAATACCTATGATCTCACTTATGTTTGACGATAGAGGGAAATGGGCAGCATATAAATTAAATAAATAACATATTGTTTGCCTGGGAGACCACAAAAGGATTTTCTTTCATTGGAGCATCCTGATAACCCTGAAAGGAACTCCAGTGGTCCCCATCAGTCCCTGAAGCAAGAGAGCTGACCATGCACTGAGCAAGCATTTCTTACGTCTTTATAAGTCAGGACAAGCCATTCTTAGGAAGAGATTCTGACTAGAAGAGTGAGGTTTAAGGAGTGGTTTCAGAATTTGAGGGGGGGGGCAGAAAGGAAGGAAGGAAGGAAGGAAGGAAGGAAGGAAGGAAGGAAGGAAGGAAGAAAGAAAGAAAGAAAGAAAGAAGAAAGAAAGAAAGAAAGAAAGAAAGAAAGAAAGAAAGAAAGAAAGAAAGAAAGAAAGAAAGAAAGAAAGAAAGATACAATCAGTTTATCAACTTTCCTGTCTATGTCAACCCCAGGTTTTAACTATTCGTTTATTTTGCATGATCACCAATCTCACAAAAAACAACTTAATGGGGGGCATACAGCAATCGAATAAAACAACAAATACAAATGCAACAGATATAAAGATGTAACAATCTACATTAAAAGATAAATATTATTTTTAAAAAATACAAGTATACAATCCCTAAGCAGAGAAAGGATAAAGATGTGCACCTCAGCAAAGAAGAAGCCATAGAAGCATTCTCTGGTTCCCTGGGAGCCCCAGGATTGATAACTAGATCTTGAGGGAGTTCCGGAACATCATGGATGGAGCTAGCCTAATATTTGGGAGAAAGAATGTTTCATAAGGGTTAGGGTTAGACCATGGCAGGGAAGATAGGTCCCTAACTGATGGTACCCATAGCATGTACCCATTTCTTTCTTATACTAGCATTGAAATCAATGGTGGGATTCAAATTTTTTTACTACCAGTTCTGTGGGTGTAGCTTGGTGGGCATGGTAGGGGAAGGATACTGTAAAATCTCCAGTCAGAGGTGGGATTTGCCGGTTCTCCAAACTACTCAAAATTTCCGCTATCGTTTCTCCAGAACTGGTCAGAAACTGCTGAATACCACCTGTGATTGAAATCTTAGTACAGTCTAACTGCTAATAGGAGCCAAATAAAAGCAGAATAAGCCATAAAAGAGGAAGAAAAATGTTCGTCACCAAAGCTACGTAATAACAATTGACAATATAATCCAGATTCGGAAGTGTCATAATTTCAATTTCTCCCAGACAGGATTGTCATCTGAACCTATAAGTGCCTAGGGAGAAAAAACAGAAATTAGTGTATTCTAGTAAGTCAGTTTGTAGGGATTTCAATGAGATTTTACTATAATTTTGAACAAAATCCATCACTGTTTTGTTTTTCTTACATTGTTCTACACTGATGATCATAATGCACACAGTATTAACTTTAATATCTTTTTATACTGTAGTACAACTGAGAAACATTAACTTCTGTTTAAAAATTAAAACATATTTACCAGATGGCCAAAGATGTATGAGTTGATGCACAAAAATGCTGAATGACTGAATAAATCAAATTACTACTGCATATAAATGCTTTTAGTAAAATGAATGAGGGTGACTTAGTCTCACCCGGTGACAAAGCATTGATATATATTCAACTTTTTTTGGTAACAATCAGCATTAATTGTAAAGGTGTAATGGTGTGGGTGGCCATTTTAAAATAATATGTAGTAATACTTAACTCTTCTGAATTTTAAACTCAGAGCATCTCATTTAATTTTAACTCAGATAAAATAGATCATAAGAGGATAATTTAGTTTTTAGAACAAACTAAAAACTTAACACATTAGATATGGAAATGGCCATTTTTTTGTAAATGAAAAGACTTGTTGCGTTGCTCAGGCCATTTAATCAAGCTTGGAAAAGAACATTTGTTTTGGCTACTCTTTACAAAATGTATTCTTTTGTATTGGTCTATTGAATCTTACGTGTTCAAGGGACAAAACTACACAGTTGTCCCTGCATGGTTATAAAACTTGTGGTAGAATTTCTTTAGCTCCTTTGTTTTTATAATGTTTTTATAATTGAGAAATCATTGAACGTATTAGTTTCTAGGGCAAGGGAGTCAAACTCGTGTCATCACATTGTTGTCACATGACGTATCGTGACTTTTTCCCCCCCTTCACTAAAACGGGGGTGGGCGTGGCCACTGCGCGACGCATGCGGGCCGCGAGTTTGATGCCCCTGTTCTAGAGCTATGCATTGCTTTGGATTCTGTTCCAAAAAGGCACTTCAGTGTGCATAATGGTTTAAATGCAGCCCCTGCCGGCAACCATTTAAAGTAACCGAGTCTTTCTCTAGCAGCAAGAAAGACTGAGTCTCTACCTAGAGTAGCATCAGAAGGCAGCTCTGCTTTAAAGAATGGCAGGCAGGTGCAATGCTTGCTTGAACACTGAAGTACCTTTTTAAAATCAAATGGGAAATGTCCAGTTCTCTAAATTTCCAGGATATCTACTTTTGTTTTGTTGCTGTTGTGGCTTTTTTTCCCCCCTGCTTGCAACTGCACCTGCCACTCCTCCCCCTTCCTTGCTTTTCTCTGTGATTTTCTTTCTTTCTTTATTCTTAAGCCCTTTCTTTAATAAATGGACTTTTTAAGGAGGCTCTAATATATTTTCTCCTTTTTGTAGGGATTTTCCATGCAAGGACAATACAGTGGAATATCTCAAGCTGAGGTGAGTCCAGCTGACAGCCTATATTGAAACTCCAGGTCTTCCCCTATGTAGGTCCTCATATCTTGTTTTTGGTCTCTGGACTTGACCCATCCTATGATTTTTTATTTTTTTTATTTTTGGAAAAGATTATAGAAGCACCTTTCCAACCAAGTATATTGGCCTCTCTGTAGTGCCTGGAGATCACAGACAGATCTTAGAGGCACTGTATTGAGGTCAGCTATTAAAGGCTGTGGCAGAATTTACAAAATAACAGACAAAAGCATTTAGAGTGACTTGGTTTTAAGCAGTCAATGAATCTTGACCTTCAGGAAAACCTGTCTTTGTATCCTTAGTGGTAACTGTGTTTAAGTGGACAGAGACAACCCCACAGCTATAGCCAGAATCTCATTTAAAATTAGCCTGAACCATAGTGAAAAGGAGCCTCTGCTGTTATGAGATGGATAGCTCACGATTGCTTCTTAAAAGATATCTTCATAAAAGATTACTACTCTGGACTTACTTGAAACAGTAATACAAACACAGTGGTTGATAGTTTCATGGGTTCCTTTTCACATACAGCTAAAATGAAACACAGTTTTTCCAGCCATGAAAAAATCTTGAGCTTTAAGAGACCCTCCAAGATACTGTCAAGAACCACTTATATAGAATTGACAATATTTATATTTAAAGGTTCTCTGTTTTTTTTTCCTTCCTGTTGTGCAGGTGACAAAATTGCAGCAGCTTTCGGGACATCCTGTCTCATTTTCATCCTTGGCACAAACTCCATCTCTAGTTGCAGGTAAGAGAGTTGGTGTAAGAGTTCTGTGAAATGACCAATCCCAGAATCCTCTGCATCACTATCTGTCCTGAGATTAGATAAGGCTGTAGGATCTCTGATAATCTCAGATTTTTATTTACAAAGTAAAGATTTTGCAAATATACTTTTTTTGCCAAGAGAATAGACCAGGGGGTCAAACTCAAGGCCTGCAGGCCGGATCTGGCCCGCAGGGTGCTTAGATCTGGCCGTTGGATCAGCCTGCAGTGCCTCTGCCAGCAAAAATGGAGCGCACAGCCCTCCCGACCTCCATTTTTGCTGCCAGAAGGCTGCAGGAGGCTGTTGCAGCCAAAAAAGGAGTTTGTGGGGGCTGCATGTGGCCCTCCTGAGCTCCATTTTCTCTGGCAGAGGGCTGGAGCAGGCTGTCGAGTGATGTTGAGCTGGCCACGCCCACGCCGGCCATGGCCCCCGAGGTCAAAAACAGCCCTGATGCGGCCCTCAATGAAATAAAGTTTAACACCTCTGGAGTAGACAGAAACATTTATAAATACCCCTTATTAGTAGTAATTTTTCACCCAAGAAATATCACTCAGAACAATATAATGTGAATAAATAAAACATTATATTCCAAACAAAAATATGTAACTTTTATTAAAAGGTACACAGTATTTTTATTCGAGTTACAGATAAGCCTATGGAGTCATTCTTTCATGTCATACCTTTAAATCGCATAAAATAGGCATAAAAATGAATCTGCATTAAAATGATTTTTACAGATCAGGCAGAGGAGTGGTAGCAGATATGATATTGGTATTGGTAACTGATATTAAATCTAGTGAATTGTTAAGGATTTATTTGGGATATAAGTGCTAAAAGAAGAAACCAAAAGAATTATGGAGAGCATTTGAGAGCCTCTGTCAAGATACTTACGTTTCTAGCCTGAAATTTTATAGCAGCCTGCCTCAACCTCCCATCCTTTTAAGAGTGAGCATTATCCCATGTTAGCAAAGGCAGACTGGCTGGATGAGTATTATGGAAGTTGTGGAGGATGCCAGGTGAGTAAGGCTTTCTTGTATGGAAAAAGAAAGCATCTAAGTAATAATAATAAATAATTATTGGGGAAACTTGAGTCAGAAACATAAATAGGAAATGAGTGTATAAAAGTACACAGTTGGTGAGGTAGCTTTGTTGGAGTAATGATAATTCTTTAATGTGCACCTCAATTTTTATACATAATCTCCAGGACAGTCACCCACTTATTAAGATGCTTATAGAGCCCAACTGTAGATCACTTGGGTCATTCTCAGTCGGCTTGAAAACCTGTAATTGATTGTGCAAAACACAGACATCTGGATGACATCATCTACAGCAGGACAGGAAAGAAATATGGCCAGAGAGGGAGGGAGAAAGCTGTTAATCCAATTTCCAAAGTGGTTCTCATCTTCTAGAACACTCGGTGGCTATTTCCTCAGCACTGACCAGAATCCTAATTCATAATAAGTCATGGTGTGTTGAATAAATTGCAGTACACTGGGTTCATACATAACTGAAGCAGAACCTGTAGCTTACAGAGAACAATTATTGCACTCACTAAAACAGGATAAGCTGAAAGCCACATTACAGCTTAGCATTGTTTAAAACCAGATGTTAAAAATAAGTTATAGAGCACCATCAAGTCAGTCCTCTGTTAAAGAAGAATATTTTGCAAATTCACCTTAATAGCCAGTAGTATTTTTGTTTTTATTAACTCTTTATTTTCAATATATCCATCATTATAGCAATCTTCAGGTTAAAATTCAGAGGAGAGGAACAAAAGAAATCAGCTCAAGAGCCCAAGTATACACTCTTTCTCAATGTCTCCCATCTTTCTCTAAATACAAACAGAGACAGAGACAGAGAGGAAGGAATAAGTGATTTTGAATTTCTTGGCCCAGGGCTGTTAAACTCCCAGCCCACAGGCCAGCTGTATCATGTGCTGGCCACGCCCGCACCCGATTTAGCAAAGGGAAAAAAAGTACCGATACGTCATGTGATGATGCTGTGATGCCGTGAGTTGGACACCCCTGGCTTAGGCCTTTGTATGTCTTGGGCACCAATTGAAACTTTGCCGGGATACAGATCAGGAACCTGTATAGTTGTTGTAAAGATGAGATCTCTTGCTATCTATAGCAAATCTTGAAAAGCAGCTTTGTGGCAGCAGTCAGAACCAGCAAATGATTTCGAGCAGTTTTCAAAGGCAGAGCACATACTGAGCACATTGCAGGAATCCAAGTGAGGTATAACGAAGGCACGTATCATTCTGGCTGGATCTGATATTGCTGAAAATAGTTTTAGCATCTTTGTTCTTATCACAGAAAAGCCATTAAGCAAAGAACAAAGCAACAGCTTACACAATATCCTTTGGTTTTGTCCTAATGTAAAACCTATGCCCAGGACAGGAAGCCATCACCCACACAAACATAACAAAATAGATTAGCTCCATATGGCAAAAAAGTGAGACAAGGCTTTTCCCTTATTTATTTATTTATTTATTTATTTTTAATCTACATCCTGAATATATACTGAGGGAAACCAGACTGGAAAAAGATGAATGTGGTTTTAGAATTGGAGGAAGAAACATCAATAGCCTTAGCTATGCTGATGACACAACACTACTCGAATAGCTGAAAATGCAAATGATTTCATTGCACAGTGGCTTTTCCTGTGACACTTTATGAGAATGAAATATTTGCAACAACTATACAGGTTGCTGATCTGTATCCAGGCAAAGTTTCAAGTAGTTTGAAGAAGTAGGCAAGAAAGAGTATTGATATTTTAAGTCAGTGATTTTGGATGGCCAAAAAGACAATCGTGGCTCATAGAACAAACCAAGCTACAGTTTTTATTAAAGAGACAAATGCCCAGGTTCACATAATCATATTTTAGACATATCTGAGGCTCTCTTGAGAAGTCTATAATTTGGAAAAAAGTGAAAAGAAACAGAAGACAAGCAGGTGTAGGAACTCAAGAAGTAGTGGGTGCAAGCACTGTTATAAGATTTGAAAGTCTAGGCCAGGGAGGGATCATCCTGTGTGGTCACTCCGAGTCAACATTGAATTGATGGATTCAGTTATTTCAAGAATAATTAGGAGCTGAGCATCTGGATGGAGCTACAAGTCCAAAGTTGAAGGGAAGGAGCTCAGATAAACGATGCACAACAATAAGAAGCCTTCTTTTGGGTTTTGTCTATTCATTCATTGAACTTGGCTTTTCCAAGTAGCCCCTGTAAAAATGCAGCAAATCCATGCAATTGAACCAAAACTCTTACCATCTGAATAAGGACAAGGATTGTTTCTTATGTTGATAAAAGAGTATCTGTAGCCAATGGGTTCTGCATCAAGCAGGAAGAGGCAGGGATAGGCTGGAATTCCACCGGGACTATCTAAAATTAGTCCTGTGTAATGTGACCTAAGTGAAATGGCATAAAACAAAAGCCTCTTCTTTGAGCTGCTGATTGCTTTGCAAGAGCTGGGAAGCCATCCAATCCTTTTTTGTGTCCTCCCTTCTTTTTGTAACTATGGTGCCTAGAAAGGATCTTTAAGATGCTAACGTTTCAGTTCAAGCTTATTCTAGGGAGGGCACGATTATGAAATAGCCATTCAAGGAATAATTAAGGGGGGGCGGGGTAGGCAAAGGGCCCCAGTAATTCTCTGTCTTCTTTCTCTCTTTCTCTGTAGGCCTGGATGCAAACTCTCAGAATAGCTCTCAGGAGTTTCTAGTTCCCAATGATGTAAGTCAGACTTTGATGTGAGCTGCCTACTCTGCTGGGTTAATGCTGTGGTTGGTTTGGTCTTTTGTTTGCACTGTTGTAATTGTACCCACTTCCGTTCCTCCCATTTCACATCAGTATAAAAGCTCATTGGGCATAAATCCAGACCCTTTTTCATTCCTTTCCTCTGCTCCTGTTCACCAAGGTCTGTTGAGAGGGACTCCATTCCGATAAAAGCAGAAATCTACTCCCCAGCCAAATCTTTCCCAGTAAAGGGCCAAGTTTTGCTGGGCAACTATGTCAGAATCAAAAAATCCAAATTCTGTTATTGTTGCAATTGAGAAAACTGCCTTACGGCGGGTCCAGCTATTTTTTTTTCAACTGGACTAATATTGTTTACTCGGATGGATAGCAGCTCTGCAGAGTCTTGGATAAAGAAAGGGCTTTAACTTCATCTGTTATACAATTATTTTGAACTGGAGTAACCAGTTAATGATTTAGGAATTGTCTTCTTGGGAACCTTGTGTTCTGCCACAGAAGTATGGTCTTTGGGTAATATAGTTAGTTAGCAAACAGCTTGGGAATTAATATGCCAACCTTCTACAACAAGCACAGACAACTTTTTAAATTTATAGTTTTTAATTGTAATTATTTTTACCAGTAGCTTTCAGGGCTTGTAAAAAGTGTGTTAGGATACAGTAATTTCATTAGACTTCAGAAGACTTGAAAATTCAAGCTCTTTTTTTTAATTGGCATTGTGTGGCTTTTTTGTTTTAAGATAAAATGGGTTTTCGAGCCTCTTAAACATTTAACGTACCTATTTTAAGAAATTAGTTTTGTCCGGAGTTCTTGAGAGGCAATGCACAGCCTAGGTTTCAGGGGTAATATGCTCTCAACATAAAATACTTATTGGCAAATAGACTACAGCAGTGATTCTCAGACTGTGGTCTGTGTAGTCACAGGGGCCCCGCAAAGGCTTGAAGAAATAATATGGTTTAAATCTTGAGTTAAGTCTTGATTGCCCATGCCATGGTCCATGGTTACAAAAGGTAATTAAAGGAGGTCCGTGATGAAGAAAAGGTTGAGAACCACTGGACTATAGTACTGCGGTTTTTTTTTTTTACCAGTGCCAGCTTCTGGGTGGTAAGGAAGGTAAATTCAAGGACAAACTCATGTAGGGTGCATAACAGGCATCTTGATGAGCAGTGTCAACAGTATTAGTTTCTTGTGGCAAAATCCTATTTCAGACAGAGTTACAAATAGCACGTCCATCAAAAAATCCCCCAGTTACAGCCTCAACCAGCTCACCCACCATATGATGAGAATCCTGAAGGATCTCAGGTTGTAGCCCCACTCATTCAGGAGTAATATTTCCTGTCAAAGAGAAAACACAGATAGTCTGATGCACAAACAGCAGCTCTATCTTGCCTGGGTTCAGGTCTAGCCTAGTCTATCCCATCCAGACTCTGTCTGAGGACAAAACATCTGTAGCATAGCCCAGAGTAGTAATACAAAGAAGACGTTCATGTAGATATCCAAAAGGGGGGGAAGGGAAGGAAAACAAACTCTATGGCATGCCACAGGAGAGTAACCACTGGGTTAACTCTTCACTATATCTGCCAAATGGAACCACTGTGAAATGGTGCTCTCAACCCTCACAAACAGTCTGGAAGGACACCTTGAACTCAAAGGCCTCGAGGAGGAGGAGGAGGAGGAGAAGAAGACTAAAAGTAGGGCATTCCACCATCTGGAATCTGACAAAGATAATTAACTTGAGTGACCTGTGTTACCTCTATCTCAGGTCTAAGCACAGAGAATACAGTTTTATAAATAACACTGCTAAGACAAAGTAGCAGGTGGAAAGCCAGTTCCTAAGCTTAGTAATGCTTAAAAGTCCAAGCTTCATCACCTTATCTAAGACAAATGTTTTAAAGAATAACGCAGTCTATACTGAGGTGGCCATACCACAATTTGAGTTTTAATGCTAATTGTGCTGCCTCGTCTTTCATGGCAGCCTGACATGGCAACGTGTAACTTAATAGTTGTACCATGAAGGGATTATCTGGAAATAATTGAATCTTCAGACATTAAAGGGAATAAAGATTGTTTTGCGTCAATAGTTACTTGAGTTTGGATCAGCATTTGGCTTTTTCCTTTTTTTACAAGGTTCAGTTGTCATTGCGGTTGTAAAGGAATGTAGAGATGACTTTGGAAGGGAGTCTGCTAAGGGAAATGAAACAACAACTCAGTCCTGAGAAAGTGAGAAAGAATCTCAAAATAGTCCTGTCTTGATTCTGTTTCATGTAAGAGGGGAAAGAGATAAAGTCTTGTAGGCTTTCATGATTCTGTTATTATACCTTACCACAGTAACATAGCACTCCTAGAATCCTTGTGGGGCCCGTTTCCTGTCCTGGCCTACCTCATAGGACTAGCAGTAGTGGACAAAGCACAGTAATCACACAGAAAAGTCCTAAGAGAGAGGGGTGGAAAAGATGTATTTTAAACCCACTTTCCCATAACTTCAGAAGGCTCACACTCACTCCTCCCTGGGAGCAAAAGCCAGAATATCAAGCTAAAAGGAGAATGTGCCAGTTGCTCACCCACACAGCCAACCCAGCTGCAAGCCTGCTCTGCAGATACCAGCAGAATACTGTTGGGGAAACTGAAGACTTTATTCAGTCATTTTTGAAGGCAGGAAGCATGTGGGTAGTCAGCAACATTGACCTTTACATAGCGCCCCAATTTTACATGCACAAGAAAAAGAATGATGGAATATTTTGCTCAGAGAAAAAGGTCTTACAAAACAAGCTGCACTGCTTTATTATTGTAGGTCAGTTCCTGCCACAGTCTGGTAGAAACCTGAACTACATGACTTAATTATTTTTTCCTTTCCCATTCAGTCTCTCGCTTGTCTAATAGTAGGTGGTTCAGTCCAACAAATCTTTGTCGCTGAATAGCTTAAACAGCACAATCCTGGGGACTCACTCAGCTACAAACAGGATTGATGCTGTCCTTTAATAACATTTGAGTTTGAATCCGTGGCTTCTAGAAAAGGACAGTGACCTCTGGGCTGATGAACCTGGCCACTTCTACATTAGATCCATGTGCCTCGTGACTGGTGATGGCCATCCAGTGGTGTGCCATTGGTCAGTGCGGTGTGTTTCTTTGAGGGAATGGTGGCACTTCCTGCCTTGAATATAGTGTCCTCTCTTCAAAAAGCCTTCACTGGACCCAACTGTCCTAGGCAATTTTCATTCAGGTTCCAACCTTCCCTGGAATGTTGTGGAATGTCTCTAGATTATAGTGTCAGTGGCCCCTGTAAGATTCAGATTATCTGGACTTATTTCAGTCTGGTTTCAAACCAGGGTATAATATCAAGATGGTGTTAGAATTTGTTGATAACTTTGATGGAGTCAGAACAAAAGGAGCTGTAATCGTTCTGGTTCTATTTAATCTCTTGGCAGGTTTTGATACCATAAATCATGGTATCTTTTTGGATTGCCTGAAGGGAATAGGAGGTGGAGAGAAAGTGTTCCTGTAGTGGTTTTCCTTTCTCTGTGGTTGGGTTGAGTCAGTGTTGACAAAGAGGGATAAATTGAGCCAGAATCCTCCCTTTAAGTGGGATTCTTAAGGTTTGGTGTTCCCATCTTTCCTGGTTAGCATCTTCATGAGGCCACTTAGTGAGGTGATCTGTCATTTTGGGGTCAAATTATCTTGGTTTAGGGGGTAGCCAAATGATATTGTCCATGTCTAATTCTAGTATGTGGAGGTTGTATGATCCTGGCTTGGAAAGGATGTGCTTAGGGTTATCTCTGACAAGACAGAGTAGTGTAAATATTTGCACCTCTTGAGTCTGGAGTGGTTTCATCATTAATCCCAAATAGGATTGTACTCCCCTCTCGAGGATTGGTGCTAAAATTTGGGTCTTCTTGGACTCATAACTTTTGCAATTGGAAGTTGTAGCTAGAAAACTTCAGCATAATTTATATAGTGTTCCACTTGTGGCCATACTTAGACTGGGAGGCCTTAAGACATTCATGTTTTGATCATCTTGTAGACTCCAGTAATTCATTGTACATGAAGCTGCTCTTGAGGCTGCGGCTTGTCCAGAATGCAACAGTGTGAGCAGTTTGGAGTGCCATGGTATCCCCCCAAAATAACCTTCCCACGAGCTACAGTGATAGTTCGACATGCAGTTTGGGTGCTGGTTAACATGTATCCTTCACGGCCTAGGACCTGGTTATTTGAGGAATCATCTATCTCCAGTAGTCTGCCATATTCTGGATCCCTGTAGATAATTGATAAATACTTGATTAAATAATCATCCAGTTAGACCCAGAAGCAGGCCTCTGTCATGCAGCTGCCCTCTGGACACAATTTTCTTCCAGATTTATAGAGCTGGCCTTATTTAAACAAGCCCATAAAATCTGACTCTATCCTTAGGCCTCAGGCTACATTGGATGATAGGTTTCTTCTATTCTATTCTATTTATTCTATTTTGATCAGTGGAACATCTGTTTCTGAATGTTACTTTTCTTTTTGGCAAGGCATTTTTTTGATTATAGTGCTGTAACCAGGTTGTGACAGATTGGAACGGCCTATCGATTCCATAACTGAAACAAGGCATTGCAGCATTTATTTGTATCTTGGGGGTTTCTTATCTAAAAAGTAAACATTACTGTAAATAAGGCACCAACAGCCCCGTTTCTCACTGCAAGAAATCGATCACTTAATGAGTCAGTATTCTCTATGCAACTTAGTTCAGCTGTTTTCTTGAGGGATGAAATTCCTCGCACCCTTCCCTCCTATAGATGATTCCTCTTCTTTGTCCCCCTTAGCTCATTGGCTGCATCATTGGCCGGCAGGGGAGCAAGATTAGTGAGATTCGGCAAATGTCTGGAGCGCACATCAAGATCGGGAACCAGACAGAGGGTTCTTCCGAACGTCATGTGACCATCACAGGCACACCAGTCAGCATCACTTTGGCTCAATACCTCATCACAGCCTGGTAAGAGCCAATACAGCCTCTGGGGGGGATGAGGCAGGGAGGAAACCTCATTTGTCACAGATATATGCAGGTATTGCTGTGGCTTCCTCCTCCTGTGTCTTAAACCCTGGGACTTTTAGATGGATAGCTTTGTAGGAACCAAAAGGCACTGTTTGCTATGGTGGGTGAGTTGTTAGTTTCTGCAACCATTCTGCCTTTTATTTAATAAAGAGGAATGTTAAAAGGTAACATCCTGCTGCACTCCCACAAGTGTCAATAGTTTTGCACATTGTCTCTCCAGCCTAGATGACAGCCTCCAATCTTTGAATTTCTCATGAGCCAGCCTAAGACTATTATCATTAGCTACAGTATTTTGGGCAGCTGCCTCTGCTTTCCCCTCAAATTCCCCTTGCAGCTGCAAGTACCGATGCAGCCTTCAGTTCTGCTCAGAAAGGACTCTTGTTTTCAGTGTGGAATAACTGCCTTTTATCCACAAAATAACAACACTTGAATGGAATACATGAAAGGATATTTGCGATGGTCTATCACAATCTGGCACTTGAGATGCTTTAAGATTTGGAGCAGGAAAATAACTGTTGCTCTCTTTTTGTGCATTATGGCCACTAGGGTACAGGCTGATAGGACATGGCCTGCTTCTTGAAGAACACGCTTTCCTGTTTATACAGTCAGTTTTCTTATGGAAATCATTCTGGCACTTATTTTATATATTAATATCTTTGCATATTCAAAATCGAAGTAAGCTAAATTTTATCACCGCTGCCGCTCACCGTCTTCAGCTTCGACAGGTAAATTGGTTTCAGGGTGTGAAATTCAGATATTGATTCAAGCCATTAGTCATGGGTCCAAGACACATAAGTGCCTGAAATACCTTGGAATGCTTTGATTATATAAACAGGAGCTACTAAAAGTATAAGATAACTTCCCTCAACATAACCGGCTCTGAACACTGATTGAGGAAATAAGCTCCTTTTATCACAGTCAAAATTCCTTTTTTCCTGTAAATGGATGATCGTAGTCCTAGGGGGATTCTGGAGAAAAAGATCTTACCCAGATGCTGAAATGCTTCAGAGCACCTTGTTCACTATTTCTGTGTGTGTACCTATTCTGTTGCACATGTCATTATGCATGCCAGTAAAAACACGTCTTTTCTGTGAATGCATATCCATATCCATAACCATACTGTTATATATGTATTAAGCAAACTATACATATTAACCCATACCTATGCATATTATGCTGTGTGCAAGCTTGTTCCAGCACACATTGGTACATATACTTCCAAGTATATGTCCACAGATGTCTGCATTTTTATATGTAAATGGGCATGCATGCACAGGTCTCATTCTTTCTCCCTTCTTGTTCTTCAGTTTAGAGACGGCCAAATCTACCTCCCAGACGCCCCCCGTTGACCTCGGCATGACTTTCTCCCAGCCCCTCACCCCTTCGCCAGCCCCAGCGCTGACAGCAATGGCCGCACCTCCCCCAACCTTGCTTGGTCCCCCCTATGCCATCTCCCTCTCCAACTTCATCGGCTTGAAACCCATTCCCTTCTTGACACTGCCCCCTTCCTCAGCCACGGGGCACAATGGCAACCTTGCCACCTACACGACCAAGATCTCCACAGCCAATTCAAGCAAGAAGGGTGAGAGACAGAAGTTCTCCCCATACTGAAGCAGGAAGGTGGGGCTGTGGGGCAGGGAGGGGAAAATTTGGGGGGGGGGGGGCCCTCCCATGCTTCACGAGATGGCATCAACATCAGGCCACTCCAAAATGAGGTTACATGGGGGAAGACTAAATATGATGTGAGAGGCAAATCAATTGTATTGGAAAGTAAGGAGATGAGAGAGAATATAACCACGGCAGCTGTTGAGAGCAGTGCTGACTTAAGAGTCAAGAGAGAGAACTGGTTCTTCTCCATAGTTCCTATTTGATCCTAGCTGAGAAGTCTGTAGTGATTGAGACCATCTAAACTTAAACTTTCTCCTCCGTTGGACAATTACACACGCAAAGTGTTATGATTTCTTACCTTCCATTAAACATACCTGATCTCCTTCAGGAAACGGCTTCTCTCACCACCTGATTTCCTGTTGTATTGTTGGGAAATCTAGCAGTTTTCTTAGAGAAAAATTGAATCATACACAAATTCTCTATTTCAAATTGAAGGCACTGGAGGTCTTGGGAAAGTTCTTAACTCAATTGTGGGAGTAGATGAAGCTTATTTGACCAATGGTAATGATAGAGTATATGCTGTGCCACTGCTATATCTCATGGATGATTGTTTTCAGTGGGGGAAAATGGAAAAAAAATCTGACTGATAAAGAAGAAAAAGGCATATAGGATTTATATATGGCGCAACATACCAAGAAGCAAACTTTTTGGTTCTCTGTTCTAAGTATTTCTCTCTTGATATGAAGCTGCTTATGTATCTCATTCTAACTATATAAGAATCTCAAAAATTTTAAAAAATCATGGCTGTTTCTGACAAACACACAGGGTTCTGAATTTTTGCTTCCCCCTAAAAGCTGGCTGGAATAAAAAGAGACTGAAAGGAGTAACTTTTACCAGAGGCCCTCTCTTGTTGACAGGGAGTTGCATAGCAACCATTGGCATATTTGGCTTCCCTGCTAAAAACCTGGGCAAAGGCTAATCAGATAGTGTAGTGTATTACTAAATTTGAATCTGCAGCACTGGCTGCCAATTCTATTTAGTCTCAGTGGAAGACACCTACTGCATGGTCTTTTTTATGGCAGATACCTCAGGAAATCTCTTCTTAGCGGGTCATAGAATAGCTATCATGCCACTGAACGCATCTTTGAATTTATCTTATCCTCATGGGATGTTGTCTCCAATGAGTACTTACTAATACTGTTCAATTCCTTATAGTTCAGCTCTACTCAGCTCTACTTAGTCATAAAAAAAAACCCCTGTTTACTCTTAAGCATAGGAAACTGCCATTTAATAACAAGTCCAACTACCAGCCATCTCTGGTTCTATGTTGTCTCCTATGTTGCTAGCTGATAGTGACTCTCCAAGGTATCTGACAGAGAATTTCCCAGCTTTACCTGGAGATGACAAGGATTACACCTGGGAGCTTTTCATGGCAGCCTTAAGGAATGAGTACATGCTCCACTATCCCCATTCCCTCTGATCTATTGTTACTGGGAGGGCACTTGTCAATGCAGATAAATTCATGTGAGTGAAGAGACAGGAATTATAATTTATCCTGACCCTTCTGTCTAAGATAAAGTGTCACCCCAGAGATAGCCAACCACGTAGCTACATTTGGTAATTATCTCAATAAACTGAGGTCCTGTCTAGCAGGAATTCAGCGTAGCTTGCTCCTGAGTAAATAGTTACAGGTTTGCAATGTACAGAAAATATACTGCCAAGCCAAGGATTTTACAACCAAGTTCCTAACTGGTTATAAACAGTATAGCTTCTCCAAAGCGACTCAGACTGCTGACTCAAGTTGGCATGTTGTATTTCTTTATTCAAATGCTACAAGGTGAATAGCAAACTGTTATCTTTATAAGGTATTGGATGGAATGTGCTTGATTCAGTGAATCAGGCTAGAAAAGAAACTGAACTTGCCTTTTGCTCTGCCTCTCCCGTGGAACCAACTGACTCATTAGCAAAGCCCAGGGCTGTGTGTAGTGTCTGCATTCAAGTAAAACAAAAACAAAAAAAATATTTAAAATTCTGCATGCACGCAACCACATCCTGTGCCATAAAAAGTTCGTTATCTGACCTGTATAGCCTATGCAACTACGCATACATATGTCCTTTGTGCATGGTAATTTTGGGAGAGGAATGTTTGTTTGTTTGCATTGTACCCAGATTTTACAATTCATGGGAGAAGCAAGAAAATCAACCTGCCCCTTTCTAAATAAATGCTAGTTCCCAAGCAGCACATCCTGTGGGGTTTTTTTGTTTTTTTTTTGCTGGATTCCTCCAGGAATCACAGGTTTCACACAGCCCTGATTATGTTGAGCTCACACAATTGGGTACGATGCCAAAGGTGTCTGGGGGAAAAAAATTAACCAGGCTGACTCAAAAAAAAAAAAAAATCAGGATAATTGGGTTTAAGGATATCTGCAGATGCGGAGCGTTGAAAGGCAGTGGCATCTGTTTGTTGACGAGATTATTTCATACCTCCAGCTTTGCAAATATACATTTTGGAAGGTATAGAAAGGCCACCATGCCTGTGAAGTCATTGGCTGTATGGTGGTTAAAGGATTGCCATCAATGAAGAAATGCTGTAGGTTTACAGATATAAAATTCTCAGATGGTGTAAATCAATATGAATTCCAATATTTTGATTTCACAAGAAAGGGGAGGATTGGAGCAAAAAGCAAAGCGGGGGGGGCGGGTATTCTTATAAATCAATACAACTAGTTGTCCGTTTGGCATTATACCCTGGCTGGTACAGATCTCTTTAATTTCCCTCTATCACTTCCCGGCAAAAAGCTCTCATCTTTTCTTGCGGCTCTGAGGAATTTCCCTCCTACCCCATAATCCTCTTTGGCTTATCTTTGGAAATGCTGTACATATAATTCTATATTTTTCCTCCTTTGTAACTTATCATTGATTTAATAAAAATATAAACTTTGTCAACTGAGAATTAATTGTTGTACATTTGAGTCAGGCAAAACCCAGAAAGTATTAGCTGGCCACTGGAATGATTAATAAAAGGGGGAGAAAAAAGGAGATTTTATAATGTTTTATCTAAGAACACAGTGAAGGCTAGCATTGTTCGTTTTTTCTTTTCCCTGGCAGCTGGACTCCTGCCTTTTGACAGCCAGGAAATCAGCAGGTGAAACTTTTCTTGTTGTCTTGAATGCTGGAGGAAATATTGTTGATTAAATTTCCACTTGACACCGATACTATGTTCACAGAAGACCTGCAAAGGGGCAAAGATACATCTCTAGAACATGTCATTAATTCAGAATAACCAACACATCTTAGTTATGTTTTGATTCATGGAAAAATATATCAGCGACTCAAGTTCATCAATCATAGAAACTATAAGAACAAGTATTTCTAGATAAGCTTTAAAGATCAAGGTTAACCTGTTGCATAACAGGGGTTTCCACAAATCCGGACTCTACGGCTTTGTGCCCATAGTATGCTACACCGTGATTATGATTTGTTAAATAAAGAATTATTGCTGGCGCACACTAAGCCATATACTGTAACTTGTAACTACAATGAATGGCTCTGTCTTATGATCATGGATCTTGATCATGACATTGTTATTTTTTTAATTTATTTTTTCAGCAACGCAGGATTGCTTGGGTTTTTTGTCTGTTTAGCAATAGTAATAAGACTTATATACCACTTCACAGTCCTCTCTAAGTGGTTTACAGAGTCTGCATATTGCCCGGAACAATCTGGGTCCTCATTTTACCGACCTCAGAAGGATGGAAGGCTGAGTCGACCTTGAACCGATGAGAATCGAACTGCTGAACTGCTGGCAGTCAGCAGAAGTATCCCGCAGTATTGTATTCTAACCACCAGGGCCCTTAGTACCAAGATGAGCAACTTTTAAGCAAAATGTTTTCCACAAAATGTGATTTAAGCTTAAAATATTCAGCAAAAATCCAGATGGCCATTAGATGGTATTGAAAGGATATCGGACATTCTAATTCTTCACTGTTATCCTGGTGATTGTTCAAATATTTGCAGCCCAGATATACTGACCCTAATAGTTATCCAGTTCAGAGCAGACACAGATGTGCTTTCAGTCCATGCAAAGTGCCAAAACACATAAGCTGAGAATGTACAACTGGTTGCAGATCCAAGCCTTGTGCTAGACAAATTGTCCTGGTATTGTCAAAACATTTATCTGTATTAAAAAGAATAGAATGGATATTGTACAGCCCTTGGTATTCTCCTGCACAGATTGCCATTGGTCCCATGCTAGCTTCCCCTTTAGCTCCAGCAAAAGAATTCATTATGGCAGCATTCCCACTCTCAGTAGCAGCAAAAACCCAGCAGTAGTGACTCCTTTAGTGAATGGAAAGGGGAACATTATGTAGACATACGTATCCAATGTTCTAGTCCCTTTCAGAGCTAGCCACTTAATGTGGTATGCAAAAAAAAAAAAAAAGGTTTAAGGAAACAACCGCTTCATGCATTGCATTTTGTTCTTTAAACTTCTCATCTCTCTCTTTTTCAGGAACTCTACAACTCTATATAACCACAAATTTTTCCACCTTCCCTTTTCTCTTAACCGAGCCATTTTTCCTTTGTGTATTTATTTTAATGATAATAAAGTATTAAACTTGGATGCCGCCCATCTATCAATGACTCCGGGCAGCTCACAAGAAGGAAACAAGAAAAATATCAAATCAGTAGAACATTAAAGATATAGAAGATGGCAAATGTAATGAAGCGAGGGTCTCATTTTCCCTCACCAAAGGCCTGGGTGAAGAGATAGATCTTCATGGCTCTTCTAAGCAACAGTGGACTGGAGTCTGTCAGACCTCAAGGAGAAGCTCTTTCCAGAGGGCAGGCATTGCTACAGAGAAAGCCCACTTCCAGGATCCTGATAAATGACATTGTTCAATCAAAGGAACCTGGAGGCCACCAGCCCTGTAGAGTAGAATCAGCCAGGCAGATGTTGTGGGAGGCAGGCAGTCCCTTAAGTGTTTGTCTGATTTGTATAGCTCCCCATCTCCCAAGTAGGTGACTCTGGG